CCAAAGTGCTGGGATTACAGGCGTGAGCCACCGAGCCCGGCCGAAAATCTACTTTCTTACAGCGGGTTCTTGCTATGTTGCCCATGCTAGTCTCACATTCCTGGGCTCAAGTGATCCTCTTGCCTCAGCCTCCCAAGTAGCTGGGATTACAGGTGCACACTACTGCTGAAAATCTATTTTAAAGCAAGAAAGACTTGATCCAGTAAGAGTGGGTTTAACCTCCCACATGGGAGGTGATAGCAACATGTCTGGGGGTCTCCTTGGGGTGAGGGGAAAGGGAGAAAGAGACCAAGCTGGCTCCATATTGAGGGATTGTGGAACCCAGTCCTGCAAGCCCATTGGCTCCCTGACCAAAGCCTCCCACTAGAAAAAAACATCTCAATTTTCCAGATATTGGCTAGGAGTGCTGGTTTTGGGGGTACTGCCAGTGATGATGATCAGGGCTACTGGTGAAGATGGTACATGGGAAAAGTAATCGCTGGTGGACTTGGCCACAGCACTGGTTTTGCTGTCAGTGCCAGTGATGAAGATTGGGCTGGTATGGTTGGTAAAGACGGTGTTGGCTGTAGTGTGGGTGGTGGAGGTAAGTCGCTGCTGGTGGTGGGTGCCTCCGGTAATGATGTTGGTGATGAAGGTGTTACTGACCTTGGAGGGGTCTGTTGGTAGTTGAAGTGCTGCTGGTCATGAGGTGTTTGTCATGATGGGGTTGGTGGCTGAGGCACTGTTGGCCATGAGGTGTTTGTGGTGCTGGTGGTTGAAGTGTTGTCGGATATGAATGTGTCTGTGGTGACAGTGCTGGCGGCTGACGTGCTGCTGGTCATGATGTTGGTGATTGAAGTGTTGCGGGCCATGGATGTATTTATGGTAATGGTGTCAGCAGTTGAGACATTGATGGCCAAGAGCCTATTTATAATGATGGTGTTGGTGGTTGAGCTGCTTCTGGCCATGAGGTGTTTTTGGTGACACTGGCGTCAGCTGGAATGTTGCTAACCATGAAGTGTGGATGGTGCAGGTGTTAGTGATTGGCGTTCTGCTGGCTGTAAGGTGTTTGTGGTGATGGTGTTAGTGGTTTGCATGTTGTTGGACATGAATGTGTTCATGGTGATGGTGTTGGTGGTTGATGTGTTGTTGGACATGAATGTGTTTGTGGTGACGGTGTTGGTGTTTGTAGTGCTTCTGGCCATGAGGTGTTTGTGGAGATGCTGGCGGTAGTTGAGGTGTTGAGGGTTGACACCGTGCTCAGCTAACCATGAAGGTGTTTGTGGCCATGGTGACTGAGGTACTTCTTCCGTGAAGCTGGTCAGTATCATAGCTCCAGCAAAGAACACAGTCTGTAAGCCATCTATTAGGCCCTGGGGTGGGTCTACTTTTAGCCAGGAACCCAGGAGTGACCCTAGGAGAGGTGCTGCCACCACATCTGCCCAGGATGCCCACAGCACCTCCCTTGGCACCAGCCCTGAGCCTCTCCTCCACCCCAGGCTTTGTGTGCAACGCGTGCCCGGAAAACTGGGTCAGTTTCCAACAGAAGTGCTACTACTTCGGTAAGGGCACCAAGCAGTGGGTCCACGCCCGGTACGCCTGTGAAGACGTGGAAGGGCAGCTGGTCAGCATCCACAGCCACGAGGAGCAGGTGGGTTCGGACTCTGCAGAGGCGGTGGGCAGCACAGCGAGGGTAGGGGGACCCTGCCCCACTCAACCCGACCTCTTGAAGTGGGCTGGAAAGCCCCAGGCACATGTCCCAATCCTCCAGCCCTGTCCTGCCCCCCAGGACTTCCTGATCAAGCATGCCAGCCGCACGGGCTCCTGGATTGGCCTTCGGAACTTGGACCTGAAGGGGGAGTTTATCTGGATGGATGGGACCCCTGTGGACTACAGGTGAGGAGGAGGCCTCTGGGATCCAGGGGAGGAAGCGGGAATACCATGGAGGGAGGAACCCCCTGGATAAACCTCTCTGGGAAGGATGTGAGGGCTCAGAGAAGGATCTCCAGGGTGCAGGGGAGGACAGCCAGAGGGGGTGGGGGAAACCTGGCCTGGAGGAGGGGGTATAGAGGAAGGGGCTCAGGGAGGAAGTTCCAAGCACAGATTAGAAGAGTGAGTTTTGGCTGGGCACAGTGGCTCACGCCTGTCATCCCAGCACTTTGGGAGGCCAAGGTGGGTGGATCACCTGTCAGAAGTTCGAAACCAGCCTGGTCAACATGGCGAAATCCTGTCTCTACTGAAAATACAAAATTTGGCCAGGCGCCATGGCTCACGCCTGCAATCCTAGCACTTTGGGAGGCCAAGGCAGGTGGATTGCCTGGGCTCAGGAGTTTGAGATCAGCCTTGGCAACGCAGTGAAAACCCGCCTCTACTAAACTAATCATTAGCCAGGCGTGGTTGTGGGCGCCAGCTACTCAGGAGGCTGAGGCAGGAGAACTGCTTAAACCCAGAAGGCAGAGGTTGCAGTGAGTTGAGATAGTGCCACTGCACTCCAGCCTGCGTGACAGAGTGAGACTCCATCTACAAAAAAAAAAAAAAAAAAAAAAAATTAAGTCAGGTGCGATGGCTCATGCCTGTAATCTCAGGACTTTGGGAGGCTGAGGTGAGTGGATCACGAGGTCAGGAGATCGAGATCATCCTGGCTAACATGGTGAAACTCTGTCTCTACTAAAAATACAAAAAATTAGCCAGGCGTGGTGGTACACACCTGTAGTCCCAGCAACTTGGGAGGCTGAGAATTGCTTGAACCCAGGAGGTGGAGGTTGTGGTGAGCCGAAATCATGCCACCGCACTCCAGCCTGGGTGACAGAGTCTCAAAAAAAAAAAAAAAGCTGGGCACGGTGGTGGGCACCTGTAATCCCAGCTTCTTGGGAGGCTGAGGCAGGAGAATCGCTTGAACCCAGGAGGTATAGGTTGCAGTGAGCCCAGATCGCACCGCTATACTCCAGCCTGGGTAACAGAGTGATTTTGTATCAAACAAAAAAAAAAAGGGGGGGTGAGTCTTGGGCTGTAGGGTATGGGGCGCCAAAATGAGGTACAGGTTCCCAGACACAGACTCAGGAAGGGGGAACCTGGGGTGAGAAGGGAGGGAGCAGACTCAGAGGGCTCTGTCCAGGCTGCCGGGAACCAGGCTCCTTCTCCCCACCCCATCCACTGACCCAAAGCATTTTGCTCCAGCAACTGGGCTCCAGAGGAACCTACCAACCGGAACCAGGGCGAAGACTGTGTGATGATGCGGGGCTCTGGCGACTGGAACGACATCTACTGCGACCGTAAGCTGGGCGCCTGGGTGTGCGATCGGCTGGCCACGTGTGTGCCGCTAGACAGGGAAGGTTCCGCGGAGTTCCTGGAACCTGATTCAGAACTGGGACCTGATTCAGAACCAGGCCAGGATGGCCGCCTGCCTATCCCCTCTGCCCTTCTCCACCCTTGAGCATGGACCCAGCCAGCCCAGAATGAAACCCTGAAGACCCCCAGCCATAGCCTGGACGCCTCTTTGCAGCTGAAAGGTCCCCATGACATTTTCTCCCACCCAAAGGGAGGCAGCTGACACATCCCAGCTCCTCTGCAGCCCTGCCTCCCCAGAAGTGCCCCTCAACAGCGCCCTGTCCAGATGGAAGTATTCCCAACACCACCCTCTCCAGATGTACCCCCATGTCCTCAGCACCCCAGGACCTGAGCACCCCAAGCTCAGGTGGCGAGTCCTCCTGTCCAGCCTGCATCAGTAAAATGCAATAATGGTCCCCCCAACATTTGTTACCTTCTTGGAGGACTGGCTGGGTCTGGTCTCTGGGTGTGGGACATGGGAGCGGGGAGTCCCAGTCTGATGCCTGAGACCACCTTTGAAAATCGGGACATCAGATCTTTGGCCGGCCGCAGTGGCTCATGCCTGTAATCCCAGCACTTTGGGAGGCCAAGGCAGGGTATCATCTGAGGTCAGGAGTTTGGCCAACATGGCAAAACCCCATCTCTATTAAAAATACAAAAATTAGCTGGGTGTGGTGGCACACGCCTGTAATCCTAGCTACTCAGGAGGCTAAGGCAGGATAAACCCCAGAGGCAGAGGCTGCAGTGATCCAAGATTGCGTCACTGTACTCCAACCTGAGCAACAGAATGAGACCCTGACTTAAAAAAAAAAAAAAAAAAAAAAGAAAAAGAAAATTGGGAGCAGCCAGACATGGTTGCTTATGCCTGTAATCCTAGTACTTTGGGAGGCTCAAGTGGGCAGATTGCTTGAGACCAGGAGTTGGAGACCAGCCTGGCCAACATGGTGAAACCCCGTCTCTACTAAAAAAAATACAAAAATTAGCCAGGTGTGTTGGTGTGCACCTGTAATCCCAGCTATTTGGGAGGCTGAGGCAGGAGAATCACTTGAACCCAGGAGGCAAAGGTTGCAGTGAGCCAAGATTGTGCCACTGCACTCCAGCCTGGGCAACGGAGCAAAACTCCGTCTCAAAAACAAAAAACAAAAAAGAAACAAATTGAGGAGCAACTGAAGTAGAATTCTATCTCCCCGCTTTAATTTTTTCCTGCTCTATTACAAGGAGAATGTACAGGACATGAAGATTCTGATGTCTAGTGGTGCCTTGGAATAGTGTAGGGAAGGCAGCGGACCACCCTGAGGCAGGAAGGCATGAGTTCACTCATGGAAGTGCCCAGAACAGGGCTTGGTACACAGAGGCGCTCAGTAAGTGCTGGGCTGGCTGTACAGGCTGATGGGGAGTTGGCCTGGTCAACCGGAGGACATTCCAGGTCTGGGTTGTTAACCCCACTCAGGGTCTGGGAGGGTGAGGTGGTACCAGCCTGAAGCTTGGCCAAGGTCAGCCCATGCCCCTGAGGTCATGGGAGGGAGGCCAGGAGCGCAGGGCATCCCTCACCACACTCCTCTACCAGTGGCTCAGGCCAACACTGGGATCATTGTGCCTCTTCCCTTCCCCAATGCCACCTCCAAGTCCAAATCCATAAGAAAAGCCCGTGGGAAGCCCGGGCGTGGTGGCTCAAGCCTGTAATCCCAGCACCTTGGAAGGCTGAGGCAGGTGGATCACCTGAGGTCGGAAGTTTGAGACCAGCCTGACCAAGACGGAGAAACCTTGTCTTACTAAAAATACAAAATTAGCTGGGCGTGGTGGCGTGCACCTGTAGTCCCAGCTACTCAGGAGGCTGAGACAGGAGAATCACTTGAACCCAGGAGGCTGAGATTGCACCACTGCCTGGGTGACAGAGTGAGGAGACTCCATCTCTCTCTCTCCGTATATATACATAAAATAAATCTGTGTGACCATGGGCACATGACTTCTTTTGGAACCTGCCCGTGAAATGAGGTGATGCTGCTTGCCCAGCTCACCAAAGGCTGGTGCTCAGCTCATCCTCCTCCTCCTCCTCTCGCCCACCCACCTGGAGGGTCCAGGGGAGGCCTTCCTTGCAGCCCAAAGCACCCTAAGTTAGAGCTGCTGTGATCAGAAGCTGCTGGACCACAGGCTCCTCTTCTTTCTCTTCATCCTCCATTGCCCCAGACCCGGGCCCAGCCTCATAACCCTACAGCTTGTTCAAACCTTGTCCCTTCTCCTCAAGCCCCCTAACTCACCCTTGGTGGCCAGGTGGGGACGGGGAGTGGGAACAGACCCTGGGCCTTGCACTCCCAGCTTACGAAGTGCCACAGCCCCTCTTCCTCCCTCCGGATTTGTCTGGCCCCCTTCACAGCGCGGAAGAATGGCCCCGTGCCACTCCAGCCTCCTGCCTCTGGCCCCTGCCCTGGCAGGTCCTGGAAGCCCCTCTCCCCAGGGTCTTAGAGGACCTGCCTGGGGTTGCTTAGCCCAAAGTGTCCCACATTTTTCTCTGAAATCCAGCTTCTCAGATACCACGCTTCCCTCCCTCTGTCCCCCATCCAGGACTGTGGCTTCTGTCTGTGCTGACACACAGACCTCACTCCAGGACTCCAGACCCCAAACTCCCAGACCTGTGCATCTGCTGGCCCCATAGACACCTCCCCTCATTCCAGATTCAGGCTGTCACCCTACCCAAGCCCTCTCCCAGCACCTCCCTCCACTTCCACCAGCCAACAGCTATTCCAGGATCAGCCCTGGGCTATGCGTGGCGGCCACTCAATGGTTTCACTTATCCTAGGGACGTCACCTTCTCCCCGCTGTGCTGAAGCCCACCCTGCTCAATGCCTCTTGCTGGGATGACTGAAACTGCCCCCTCACCAAGCCCTCAGCCCTGGTCCCCCAGGCAGCCCAATGGAGCATCCTAAACAAATCGAGAGGCGACACCGACCCCTTTGGCCCTTCTCATAACGCAGCCGACGGTACCTGCAGTTCCGTTTCTGAACAGACCCGTCTACTCGCATCCTGGGGGCAGGGGAAAGGAAGCAGGGAAGGTTGGATCATGGTTTCCCACAAAAAATCTGGAAGGACTTTTCTTGGGGAGAAGTGGTCAGGAACCAAGTGTGATGAACAAAAGGGGAAAGAATTACCTGAGGCGTGATGTATTACTTTTGTTTTTTTCTTTTCTAAGACAGGGTCTCACTGTGTTGCCCGGGCTGGAGTGCCAATGGTTCAATCTTGGCTCACTTCAACCTCCACCTCCCAGGTTCAAGCGATCCTCCCGCCTTAGCCTCCTGAATAGCTGGGATTACATGTGTCTGCCACCACGCCGGGCTAATTTTTGTATTTTTAGTAAAGATGGGTTTTGCCATTTTGGCCAGGTTGGTCTTGAACTTCCAGCCTCAAATGATCTGCCCACCTCAGCCTCCCAAAGTGCTGGGATTACAGACATGAGCCACCACGCCTGGCCTTAATTTAAATTTTTTTAGATGCGGTCTTACTATGTTGCCCAGGCTGGACTCCAACCCCTGGCCTCAAGCAATCCTCCTGCCTCAGCCTCCTGAATAGCAGGGACTCCAGGTGTGCACCACTGCACCACACTTATTTTAAATTTTTAACACGGAAAATGTTTGTATCATCCTGGGTTTTAAAATTAACTTTAAAGTACTGAGCAGCCTGGCCAACACAGTGAAACCTCGTTTCTACTAAAAATACAAAAAATCAGCCAGGTGTGGTGGTGGACGCCTGTAATCCCCTCTACTCAGGAGACTGAGGTAGGAGGATGGCTTGAACCTAGGAGGTGGAGGTTGCAGTGAGCCAAGACTGTGCCATTGAACTCCAGCCTGGGTGACAGAGAGAGATTCCATCTCAATAAATTTAAAAAAATAGAGACCACATGGCATAAAAAATATCGTCCATCTGGCCCTCTGCACAGTTTGCCCACCCCGAGTTTAAAGGCGTCTGTCTTGTCCTGATGCATCTCCCAGAACACCATGCCCCCTTCAGCCTGCAGACAGCCTCCAACTGTGGTTCCAGACCTGCCAGCATTTCCCACCAACTCCTTCTGTCTGCTTTATTTCTCCCTGCCACCACCCCTGGCCTCACTCAACCCCCAACCCTATGGCCAGTCCTGCCCCCACCGTCCCACTCTATTGTAAACACATGTGGACCTGAGGCCCCCACACAAGACACAAGACACACTTGGGTAGGGGGCTCTCTGTATCCTTTATCTCCAGCGGGGTCAGCGGCCCTCCAGGGCCCGGTCTCGGGCGATGACCGCCTCCTCGAACTTGATCATGAGCGTGGTGCCCTTGTGCCAGTGCGCCGTGACCTTGGCAGGGAAGCCGCTGTGTGTGAGCACTGCCTCCACGATGCCTGCCGTGAAGCTGGCACAGTTGAGCGTGCTGTTCTCCTTGGGCACGGAGATGTAGGTGTTGATGAGCGGCTCACGCTCGATGATGTAGAAGGTGCGCGCGTCATCGTTGGCCTGCTCCAGCTTGTCCGCTTCCTTGCCGAAGAGCGCCTTCCACACGGAGCCTTTTACGAAGAGCAGCGCACCCAGCACCTTGGTCTCGCGCCGGGCCCCCTTTTCTCGCGCCACCAGCGCATCCAGCACACGCGCGCCCACCTGGCGGCCCAGCGCTGCGAGTCGCGCCTGCAGCTCAGCCACGGAGAAGACGCGGCTCTGGCAGTGCTGCACCAGCTCAGAGAATAGCAATGCGAAGGCGCTCAGGCTCACCTCCGTGCGCGGCCGTGCCAGCGCGCGCTCGAGCAGAGCCGACTTCCCGCGCGTGAAGCGCGCCTCCATCCCACCGATGCCCTGCGGGGAGACCAGGAAGCATGGGTGTTAGGGGCAATGGGAAAGGGACCAGGCGGGGAGGGAAGGAGGGAGAACAGCGAGGGCCCCTGGGACACCGTCACCCCACACCACCATTGTATGCTCCAGCGCTGACTTCCCACGTGCAAAGATATGCGCGTAAAACACGCCTCGATGGGCCAGGTGCGGTGGCTGACGCCCGTAATCCCACCACACTTTGGGAGAACGAGGCAGGCGGATCACCTGAGGTCGGGAGTTCGAGACCAGGCTTACCAACATGGTGAAACCCCGTCTGTACTATAAATACAAAATTAGCCGGGCCTGATGGCGCATGCCTGTAATCCCAGCTACTTGGGAGGCTAAGGCTGGAGACTCTCTTGAACACGGGAGGCGGAGCCTGCGGTGAGCCGAGATCGAGCCATTGCCCTCCAGTCCGGGCAATAAGAGCGAAACTCCGTCTCAAAAACAAACACACCTCGATTACACATAACCAGACAATTCAGGGAAGGGGGAGGCTTATACCTTCAGCAGGCAGCGGGCTAGGGGGAGTGAGGGAAAAGGGGAGACACGAGGGGTAACAGAAGAGGGCGCCAGAAACCACACAATCTTCGATCACCCAGACAATTCAATTGTGAAAAGCGCCTTCCTGCCAGCTCCACCACCTACGGGAGTAACTAGGAAAGTGGCTTATGAGGGGAGGGGCGTCAGATCTCAGGCAGGGAGGTGACAAAGATAAGCCACCACGAGGGGACATGGACAGTCGCCCCTGCTCCGTCATGCACTCCAGCACTGACGACCCTCGGGAAATTTCCCGCCCGCCCCCACTTTGCGGAAAGCCAGAGTAAAAGGGGTGGAGGGTGGGAGCGGGGTAGGAGCGCGTCAAGACCAAAGGCCAGGAGGGTTGGGGGTTTGAACAGGCGAGAGCCGTGGGGCCAGGCAGGGGGGGCAGGGAACCCCCAACCCCAAGCCCTTGGGCAGCTCCAATGTGTCACGCAGGAAGCCCCCGTCCTTTGAGACACGGAAGGGCCTGGGTTCTGAAGGCTGGGAGGAGGGGCCCAGAGAAGGTGTTGGGAGCCTCCCCCTCTCCCCCCGCCCCCCTCCCCGTGCTCTCCAGAGAGGAAGCTAGATGCTGAGAAACTGTGGTCCTCCCATCAGCTGTGGGTGTAGGGAGAGGGAGATCGGGTACGGGGCTCCTGGAGAGAAACGGGGGGGGGTCAGACACCGAGACGGGATCGGAGGGGCAGCTGAGAACCCCGCCTCCACCATGAGTAGGGTGGTCTGAGGATGCTGAGCCGGCCCCAGTGAGGTCTGCGTGGGAGGGGGAGGACCAGCGGGGAGGGGGGTCCCAGGGGCTCCGGGCAGCCTCCGCCCCAGCATGCAGATCCGTCCGTGGGGAAAGCCCTGGGCACGCGAGATGGGAGGGAGATGTTAAGACCCCACCACCGGGCTGCGACGGGGATGGGTGAAGTGAGCTGAACCACCGCAGGGCGGGGACCCCGCGACCCTCGCCCCGGACCTCTACACTGGGGAGAAACCCACCCTCCTCGCAGCCTCCTGAGAGGGACCAAAGAGAGCGGATCCGGAATCGCGGACGCCGAGACCCAGTCCGGGATCCACAGGTCCGCGGGGAAGGTTGGGGAGCAGAGGAGGCCGGGCACGGGTAGGGGGCGCGGGCGAGGTCTCACCTAGTGCCGCAGCTGTCGGCTCGGCCGAGCTGCTTTACGGCGTCGTAAAAGGCGCTGCGTGCGCAGGCGCGCGACGGGCGGGCGTGTGGGCGGGGCGTGCGCGGCGGTGACAGAGAGCCGCCGCAGAGGGGCGCGTGAGTCCGCGGAGCGGGACCCAGGCTGCGATCATGGCCCGCGGCTGTGATCGCAGCTTCGCGCGTGGCCAGGGTCTCGCTGACTCTGGGTGGCCCACGCTGGAGGGGACGCTTGCAGGCCTGGTCATCTGCTCAGGGCACACGTATGACAATGGGGTCCATGTATTCCCTTGCCCGTGGACACACCTGCTCACGTTTGCAGGCTTTCCTATGTCCTTGGGGTTGTGTTCTATTGTCTCAAAGATCATCCATGTGGCTGGGCACAGTGGCTCTGGCCTGTAATCCCAGCATTTTCGGAGGCCGAGGTGAGAGGATCACTTGATGCCAGGAGTTTAAGACCAGCCTGGCCAACACGGGGAGACTCCACCTCTTTATAAAAAATTAGCCAAGTGTGGAGGTGTGAACCTGCAATCCTAGCTACTCGAGAGGCTGAGGCAGGAGGATTGCCTGAGCCCAGGAGGTCGAGGCTGCGATGAGTCATGATTGTACCACTGCACTCCAGCCTAGGTGACAGAGTAAGACCCTGTCTCATATCACTGCATTCCAGCCTAGATGACAGAGCAAGACCTGTCTCAAAAACGAAACAAAAAACAAACAAAAAAACAAATGAAGTACAGGCATGAGCGGTGGGCATAGTACATTAGGGTCATGTACACTTATGGATACATGCTCAGTGGCACAGATACACTCACGGGCACAATTGCACTCGTGGGTACACGCTTATGGCTTGTATATATCCACGGGCCCAGGTGCACTCAGGGAGACGTTGTACGCTCAGGGGCACCCACTCTGGGACACAGGGAATGAGTTACCTGTTCCCGGACACACAGGTACTCACCCAGGGCACTCAGTTTCCCCCACTCTCATGCCTCGGGGTCTTTGTTACATGCAGACTCTCCCTCTTCCCAGGTCCCAAACACCCTCCAGTTGCCCCAGTAACAGGGCGCCATAGCGACGCAGTTTTCTCTTTATTTCTCTTCATGAGTCACAAAATGTGAGTGCAGAAATAAATGACTGTCTGTGTGCATGTGTCCTGAACACACAGGATGGCATAAGTCAGCACGCTCATAATGACACAGCCATTCACCCAGGCACAGGTAGTGACAGGGCACACACGGCGACACTCATACATACAGAGATACATTTCCATAGTGTGCACATCTCCCCCCCCATAACGTGTAGACCCACAACATGCCGCAGTACACTCAGGCACGTTTACACAAACAGGGAGACGGCCCCGTGCAGTGCATGTCACTGACACCCACACTCAGAGTGACATCTGTTGGACGTCCTCAGACACAGCCAACTGCCGTGACATGCCGAGACTCATACATATCACGTGACACAGGCATGCATGCCACACTCACTGTGATTCTCATGGTCCTATTCATTCATCACCTTTCTGGGGGACACACTGAAATGGCCACCCTCAGCAAAATGCACACACATACATGCACGCGCACACACGCGCACACACAGGCACACAAGCAGCTCTGAGACACTCATTCACCATGACTAGAGGTTTTTCTATATGCAGGATGAGGGGTAAATTCACACTAGGCTGGAAGGGGGTCATTTCCCATCTTCATCGGCAGGTGCAACCCCATCTTCCAAGCTGTAGCTTTGGCTGCCACAATGTCCCCTCCTTTATTTAGATGAAGACTCTGGGGTTGGGGAGAGACCCACAGTGAGACAGATCCCACCCCTGGGAGAGAAGCTGGGGCTAAATCAGAAGCCCCACCCAGCCACCCTCATCCACCTCCCCCTGGGGCCCCAGCTTACTTGAGGTTTTCTCCAGCACCTCCAAGATTCTCTGTACCTTTGTCTCAATGTTTTTTATGTCTGGCAGGTGGGGAGGGTTGAGTGAGGACAGATCAGACAAGCTGTGCTGGAGCCTCAAACAAAGCCCCCACCTTCCTTGGAAGCCCCCTCCCTGCCCCACGCCCGAATTTGAGGTCCCCAGGAGAGTTTTTTTTAAAGACAGGGTCTCACCCTGTCGCCCAGGCTGCAGTTCAATGGTATGATCTTGGCTCACTGCAACCTCCACCTCCCTGATTCAAGCAATTCTCTCCAAGTAGCTGGGATTACAGGCATGTGCCACCATGCCTGGCTAATATTTTTTTTTGTGCGTGTATTTTTAGTAGAGACAGGGTTTTCCCCATGTTGGCCAGGCTGATCTCAAACTCCTGACCTTGTGATCCACCTGCCTCAGCCTCTCAAAGTGCTGGGATTACAGGCATGAGTGACTGCACCCAGCTCCCAGGAGCCTTTAAATACCCACGGAGCGACCCAGAGGGTAACATCCATCACCTTTCCACGACTTGAGCTTTGTGAGGGTCGGACCCCAGCTGTCTCCTCCCCTGACTCCCCTGCCCGCAACTGTGTGCCGGGCATTGGTGACAAATCCCCCCCACACACAGAAGGCGGGACTACACAGGCACCTGCTAACGGTGTCTCTAATTTCTCCACCTTGCTTCTGACCCCTTTGATGCTCTCCTTAATGGATTCGCAGTCTTTCTTCTGCCTCTCCTCACGTGTTTGCATGGAGTTTGAGACTGAGGGCATGAAACAGGGGTGTCTGTGCATCCACCCCTCTCCACGCCCCCACCATTACCCCACGAGTCTCCCCTAGACCCTCCACTCACCATTCCAAAGGTCCCTTTTTAAGTCCACCAGCTCCTTGGACATCTCAGAATCTGTTCAGGAGGGGCAGGAAAATCCTTGAAGCACCGAGGGAGAGAGGGAGAGGGACAAGGGAGACAGCCTAGGCGCCCCTGCACCCTCCTCCCGAGAATAAGCACTCACTCTTCACCAAGATGAAGACAGAGAGGACGATGCAGAGGATGAAGACCAGGGCCAAGAGGGCGTACACGCTCAGGATGGCTCTGTACAACCAACAGGGGATCTGGATAGAGTCTGAGGGTGGCCTGCACTGTGATGGGACTGGAGCAGAGAGGCAGCCAAGTGACCTCGCGGGGCCAGCACCACCACTCAGACCATCCTCACTTTCTCTAACACCATGGATGCCTCACTCCTCCCAAAACCATCAGCAGCTGTGCCCATGCGGCTCACCGTCATCGTCAACAACGCTGCCACCACCAGCCACCCTCAGCGATCCTCCCTAATACCATCCCCATCACAGACCCTCACCAGCACTCCCAACATCATCACCAGCAACAGACCTCATTAGCACATCGACAGCTGTCACTTATTCCTTCCCCGTTGCCTCCTCCCTTCCATGAGGAGCCAAGAGGTCTCAGGCCTGGGGCCTGCAGATGCCTACCTACCTGTCCCTTCCCAAGGTGTGATGGGATGTGAGCAGGTGGGTGTCTGCTCACCTTGACTCGTAGGTCGTGAATGACCACCCTTCGCTTGGTCCTGGTTTTTGAAGGCCAAGATGATATTCTCATAGTCTGGGTCATGGGCACCTGCATGGGAAGCAGTGGTGGGGGCGGGGGTGGGGGCAGTTTGGAAACCTGCTCAGAGCTCTGTGGTGTGGAGAGGGGATCTGGGATCTTGGTTTACCCAACCCTCTGCACTCAGTAAATTGTGGAGGATGAAAGATAAAAAGTGAGAAGCTAAAATCTGCTTTTTGGTTAAGCCGAGCAGGTGTATGAAGGTTGGAACTATCACACCACAGACATACACAAACACACACACACACATACACACACACACACACACACATCTGGAGGGGAAGGAGCCCCTGGCCCCCACCTTTAACCCCATAGCTCTCCCATCTGAACCCCTCCCTTTTTTATTCTTATTTTTTTAGAGGCAGGGTCTCCCGACATTGCCCAGGCTGGTCTCTAACTCCTGGGCTCACTCAATCCTCCCGCCTCAGCCTCCCAAAGTGCTGGAATTACAGATGTGAGTCCCAGTCCCCGATCTCCCAACCTCTCCTTCTTGACCCCTCCCTTCCACCTTGAGGTTCCTAACCTTGATTCTTGGTTGGGACCCCCCGTTTCTTCTCTTTGAAGGCTGGTGCCTGCATCTTGACTCCCTGGTGCTTGTAGATTTCCTCCACGTCCACAGTCCCCAGCCCGCAAATTGGTCCATACACCTCTCCACCCACCGGAAGCTGTCGAGGCAGATGAGGAAATCTGAAGGTGGGGGGAGGGCAGAGGGGGAGCAGCCTCCTCTTTTTAGGGATCCATGACTCTCCCACCCTGGGGCACTCTCATCCCTGCCCAAATCAAGAGGGTCTTGGGAGCCAAGAGGTCTCAGGAAGGACCAAGAAGAAAACCCCCTAGACGGAGAGATGGAATAGGACACCTGGAAATGTTACAGGAAGCTGTGTGTCTATGTGTGTGTGTGTCTATGTGTGTCTGTGTCTACCAGGATGGACCTCACCCTCCTAACTCCAGTCCGATCTCAAAAGAGAAGCTGTGACACCTCAGGGTCCCAACTTTTTGGGGAAGAGCAACCAGGCTTGGAGATAGGACCCCTGGCTCCCCCAACACCTTCCTCTCCCCAGCCTCAGTTCCACCCCTCAGCTCCACCCCAAGAAGTTCTTCTAGAAGGCCCCAGGGAGGAAAAGCACAGATGTGAGGCAACGGGAACTAACCACTGGAATGCCACACCCACCTCTGGGACTGAGGGCAGACCCACATCCTTCCCTCCCTCCCCAAATCCCCTGCTTTTTTGCAATCCTGGGGGGAGGCTGGGCATGGTGGCTCACACCTGTAATCCCAGGACTTTGGGAGGCTGAGGCGGATGGACCACCTGAGGTAAGAAGTTCGAAACCAGCCTGCCCAACATGGTGAAACCCCAACTCTACTAAAAATACAAAAATTAGCCAGGTGTGGTTGTGAGCGCCTGTAATCCCAGCTACTTGGGAGGCTGAGGCAGGAGAATCTCTTGAACCTGGGAGGGAGAGGCTGCAGTGAGCCGAGATCACGCCATTGCACTCAGCCTGGACAACAGAGGGAGACTCAGTCTACAATAAAGAAAGAAATAAAAAATTAAAAATTTCTAGCCGACACATTAAAAGGCTAAAAAGACGTCAGCCAAAAGAATGCTAGTATGTGAAAAAATCCGAATACCGTTTTTATTAACATAATATACCAAAACTATGATCATTTCAGCATGAAGGTAGTATTTTTTAAATGATTAATGGGCCCATTTGTATTCCTTTTTTTGGCACGAAGTCTTTGAAAACAAGTGTGTATAGACTGAACATCTCAGTTGGGACTAGCTACCTTTCGAGTGCTCAAGGGTGCTGATGGACAGTGTAGGTCTTGAGAATTTTAGTTTTCTCCCTTTTAGGTTAAACACACACACACACACACACACACACACACACACACAC